TAAGAAACTATTAAATATCAGAGTTTTGAGTGCTGAATGAAAAAAAACTACTTTGGAAACCAGATAACTAAGAGTACAGCAAGTATGAAAAAGAAAAATTACAATGTTTTTCAGAGTGCCAGACCTTAGGCAGAGCTAAACGGGATGGTTATTTTTGGGAGCCAATAGAAATTACACACGAAATATGTAACTTGAAGCTTTAAAATAGGTTTTCTACACTTATATATAATCTATACTAACACAGACTAAGTCAGAAGCAATAGTTGTGTAATTTAACACTTACATAGCACTTTCCACTCATTATACAATGATTAGAGCCCTACCAAATTCACAGGCCATTTCACAGGCACAGAATTCTAAAAATAGTAAATTTCATAGTTTCAGCTATTTAAATCTGAAATTTCATGGTGTTGTAATTGTAGAGGTCCTGATCCAAAAAGAAGCTGGGGGGGGGGGGGGGCACAAGGTTATTGTAGCAGGGGGTTGCGGTACTGCTACCCTTACTTCTGCGCTGCTGCTGGCAATGGTGCTGCCTTCAGAGCTGGGCAGCTGGAGAGCGGTGGCTGCTGGCCGGGAGCCCAGCACTGAAGGCAGAGCCACCACCAGCAACAGCATAGAATTAAGGATGACATGGTATGGTATTGCCACTCTTACTTCTGCGCTGCTGCCTGCAGAGCTGGGCCCTCAGTCAGCAGCCGCCATACTCTGGCCACCAAGCTCTGAAGGCAGCAGTGAGAAGTAAGGGGTGGCATGGTATGGTATTGTATTGCCACTCTTACTTCTGCGCTTCTGCTGGTGGGTGCCCGGCCAACCACCGCTGCTCTCTGGCCACGTGCCGCCACTCTCTGGCCACCCAGCTCTGAAGGCAGCACAGAAGTAAGGGTAGCAATACCATGCCCCTGCCCCTACAATAACCTTTTGACCCCCCTGCAATTACCTTTTGGGTCAGAACCTGCAATTTGAGAAATGCTAGTCTCCCCCATGAAATCTGTACAGTATAGGGTAAAAGCACACAAAAGACCAGATTTCACGGTCCGTGAATTTCATGGCCGTGAATTTGGTAGGGCCCTAACAATGATTATCTAATCAAGCCTTGACTCCCCTATGAGCTGGGTAAGCAGCTATTATGCCAAAGAAACTGAGACAAAGTTTAGAGAACTGGAGCCTGATTCTCAGAGGTGCTGGGTACCCGCAACTCCCAAGAACTTCAGTGGGAACTGCAGGTGCTCACCCCTCTGAATATAAGGATCTGGCTTTCTCAAGTTGGGCATCAAAAATGGAGAAAGAAAATCAGTGAACACTTTTGAAATGTGTGCCTAAGTGACTTGTTCAAGACCTGGGATTACAACTCAGAAGCTCCTACATACCACTCGCATGCTATAAAAAAAAAAAGACATTATAGCACATTGGCAATCTAGACAAATTTCAAGAAATGTTGAAAGTATATAAAAAAACAAGAAAGAAAATCCCATGACATAAGAAGTGGAAGCAATACATGGGAGCTATTAAAAATTTTATATGGGAGTAGTAGAAATACAGAATGATATGCCTCATACTGGGATTCTGGGATGCATTAACAGGTGTGTTGTGAGCAAGACACGAGAAGTCATTCTTCCGCTCTACTCTGCGCTGGTTAGGCCTCAGCTGGAGTATTGTGTCCAGTTCTGGGCACCGCATTTCAAGAAAGATGTGGAGAAATTGGAGAGGGTCCAGAGAAGAGCAACAAGAATGATTAAAGGTCTAGAGAACATGACCTATGAAGGAAGGCTGATAGAATTGGGTTTGTTTAGTTTGGAAAAAAGAAGACTGAGAGGGGACATGATAGCAGGTTTCAGGTATCTAAAAGGGTGTCATAAGGAGGAGGGAGAAAACGTGTTCATCTTAGCCTCTAAGGATAGAACAAGAAGCAATGGGCTTAAATTGCAGCAAGGGAGGTTTAGGTTGGACATTAGGAAAAAGTTCCTAACTGTCAGGATGGTTAAACATTGGAATAAATTGCCTAGGGAGGTTGTGGAATCTCCATCTCTGGAGATATTTAAGAGTAGGTTAGATAAATGTCTATCAGGGATGGTCTAGACAGTATTTGATCCTGCTATGAGGGCAGGGGACTGGACTCGATGACCTCTCGAAGTCCCTTCCAGTCCTAGAGTCTATGAATCTATACCTAAGCTAACCAAAAAGCCAGCAGGATCATGGAAATCTCCAGGAAGGGCAAGAAAGCTCAGACAAAATTCCTTTAAACTGTAAACATCTCAGGTACTTCAATTATGCATTGAAGAGGGAGCATGGTCAGAGTTGTGCTCAGGCAATCTTGGACTAACACTGTTCTAACTTGCATTAGGAGCAGAAAAATCAGCTCCTGGCTAACTCCAGGATTTTGAGAAGGGATAACAGGGAGGAGGCAGAAAGCCACCTCTTTCCCCCTCCATCTCCCTCCTTGAGGTACTCAGTAATGACACTCAGGTGCACCTGAAGATCAAATACAATACGTTGTAATGGCTTGTAAGTTTCTCTTATGACTAGAGCTAGTCATTTTTTAAAATTTTTGTACAAATCCATCTAATTTTGCAAAACCAATTTTCTTAATTGTGAAATATTTACTGTTTTTTCAACAAGTTCTAGTTAAGATAACATTAGGCTCAATCCATAATGAAGAGCAGTATAATGAGGTGCCATCTCATTCATCTGCCCATGGTATTCATTCAGAGTTTCTCTTCTCAGTGTATTGACAAAAATACGTTTTTAGTTGTTTTTACTCCTGTTAGCCTTGTAGAACTGGCATAGCTAAGAGAGCTCTGAATTATATTCCATTTGTGCCTCATTAAACAGGACTGTTTATTAAGTTCCAATCAGTTACACCTAGGCAAACCCATTAAAGAGAATGCAGTTGCACCGAATCATTGTGGGCATAATCTATAAAGACAATGAAGTTGCAGGGGTTTAGTTTGAGGGCCTGATTCTTTATTTCTGGCGATGATAAACAAGAAGGTAAGAATCTCGCTACACTATAGATCCCATAATAAATTTGCAGGGTTGGCAGTAAAAATTAATTTATAATCTGATCATATTCGATATAAAAATCAATGAAAGCAACTGAGAACCTCCTGATGCTTTTTCAAAAATCTGTATATTTAATCTTATTTAGATGAAATTAAAATTAATCATTTCAGCACACTTACATTATCCTTCTCAACAACCAACATGGACTATTGGCTTTGGTTTCTATAAAGTTATATAATGAAGATTGAGTTTTTTTTAGCAGATTGTATTATGCAGAGGTGCTAGTTTGTTTGGATTATGGAGCAGGTCAGAATTATTTAAGTTTGTTACTCAGTTTTCTTTGTAAACCTGATTTTAGCATCCCTTCTAAAAAAGGGAAAGAAGAGTGAAACTTTAGTTTGCTAAACTCATCTAGTCACAATTTGCACAGAGGATCCAGCACAGAGCATTGGAAAAAGAGCAGGAATGCTGCCTCTTCTGCTGCACCACTCTCCAAAGGCCTCTGCACTAGCCAATCCCACTTACACTCACTCCTGTGCATCTCTGTAAATCACAAGAGAGCTCTCCAAGGGGCAGACGGTAATATAGCATAAATATCTTAAACTGTGACTTCCTGTACTTTCAGATGTTTGGGTTTCTTTTAAATTTAGCCTCAGCTCTGAATTTCCTGGCTTAACGATTGCCTCTTGCTAACTACAACTCTTATCAGGATTTTTACCCTTAACTTATTAAAATAGCTTTTTAAAAATAAGTTTGTGTTTTACTCATTCCATATCAAATTTGCTCAGTTTACAAGTATTTATTATTCTACAATAGTGCCCAACAGCATGCTAGGCACTCCACAGTACAGATTAGAACACACCAACTCTTTACTCAAAAGACCTTCCAATCTGATTTCAGTCAGTGGAATAAAGGGGGCAAACTAAACAACAATGTGGACTTGGCTGTGAAAGAACAAGATACAGTAAAAAGATTACCTGGTTACTCAGTGAAGTCAAATGCAGTATGGTGAAATAGGGTTTTTTAATTTATATATATTTGTTGACATACTAGTTTCCCAAAAGAAATAAGAAGGATTTGAAAGAGAAGGAAAAACATGTTTTTCTAAGTACAACCTCTGCAAACTTATTCTGGGATCTAAATGTCTGGCTACATTTTTTCCATCTTGCACATCATTACCAGTATCAAATTCTGCAAGCCAAATGATGCACTCAAGTACACAAGCACAAATTTACTAACATTTTCTCTTTATCTGAGCACTGGAACACTTCAAAAAGTTATAAATACTCAAGATTAAAAGATTCCCTCTTCAACTATTCATTTCTAATATAAAGAGAACCATGTCATAGCAACCAAAGCTTGGTTTCTTATTATAAGCAGATATTGTGTGTTCATGCTCATTCTAGTTTGAAAGTTTCCTTCCAGAGGTTTTATACTGGTTTTCCAGATCTTTAAATATCAAACTAATTTATCTTGAAATTGTTGCAATTCTGCAAACTTAACAATAGAAAACTTCAAAATATATGCTTTTATTAAACATTTAATAAAAGTCTCTTCTACCAAGCATGTATAATTAACTCATGGCCTCACTGCCACAAAGTGTAACTGAGGCCAAAAATATTGTAAAATTTAAAAAAGGGTAACACATTTGCATACCTTTTATTGCATTATAGATCCAGAGTTACACTAAATAGGAAAAAAAATAATGATATAAACCCTTATCAGGGCAAAAGCCATTCACTAACTGATGCAAATTAGGGAAATATTTCCCCTATGGGTTGGTTATTCCGTAACTGTTCCGCTACAGGAAACAAGGGTTTCTTACACCTTCCCCTCCTACAGAGTACTGCCAGACAAAGATGGACTACTAATACAGCAGTTCCTCTGTTCATATATTTTTATTTTATATATGGTCCATACTGCCTGACAGTATGCAAATATATAGTTGAGTTACAATACACTGATAAACTATCTGAAAAATCAAACAATGAAATACTTACAGTGAAAATACCCATTAGCTGAGTGTAAAAGAGTCCACTTATTCCACCTAACATTATTATGCCCATGAAGGTCGATATCCTTAGCAAGGCAAGTTCATGTCTAAATACAAAGAGATCCTATGAACAAAGGGAAAAAGAAAAGGCTGTTTAGTTTTCAAAAATTACATGAAGAAAATGATCCCTGAACAAAGCAATAACATTAGATAAGAACTGATTCATAACATTTATGACTAAAGCAATGCATTTATATGAGCTAGGTCAGGGGTCCGCAATGTGGTACCCGTGGGCGCCATGGCACCCGCCGGGGTGTCTAAGTGCGCCCGCGTGCTGGCCGGCAGACGAGCATCTGCCGAAATGCCGCTGACAAGCAGCGTCATCCAGAGTCATTGCCGCTGAAATGCCACCGATTTTCGGCGGCGATGCCTCTGGATGACGCTGCTTGTCAGCGGCATTTCGGCGGCGACGCCTATTGACATTGCTGCTTGTCGGCGGCATTTCGGCGGATGGTCGTCCGCCACCACGGTTCTCCGTGGCTCGTCGTCTGGCGCCTGCCAGACGAAAAAGGTTGGGGACCACAGTGCTAGGTGGTATTTTTTCAATGCATAAATGCTAAAAACTCAAAACCTATAAAATATATGTTTTCTATTTATACATTCAGACATACAAAAAGGTGTGCTAGATTGCCAAAGAACTCAATCCATTATTTAAGGTTCGGTAGCATAGTAAACCATGCCAGTTTATTCCTGGCTTTTCCTCAACAAAGCATGCCACGTGCTATTCTGTACCTACTTGTCGTCACAAGGAAACATTTCACAAGGAAACAAAGGAACTTTCTCTGCTATAAGACTTCCATATTGTGGCTCTAGCCATAGTCTATTACATTATTTTAATAACACTTCTTTAAAAAAATAACACTTAGAACTTGACTCAAAGATGGCACTGTAATAAAATAAAAATATATAGTTAGGGTTGTGAAGCGATTAAAAAATTAATCACGATTAATCGCGCTGTTAAACAAAAACAGAATACCATTTACTTCAGGGTGGATAAAAATCAATTATTTTTTAAATTTTTTAAAATTTGGATTTTTTTTAATTTAAATCGAATTTTGTTGATAAAATGCTTTTTAAGGAAAAAACCTATCTAAAGATAGTTTTAATTAAGATACATTATAGCTCAAAGATCTCTCATCATGGAATAGGGATTATAAATTCTAATTCTATAGTATGAGACAATATATTCATGTAATGTTTAAGAAAAATTTTGTAAATGAGTTTCAATAGTTTATGGATTAGAGACCCAGTTTTATGGGGTTCCAGGGGCTTCTGTATAGATTATTTAGGTTAATCTTTCTATCTACCCAATGGGACTCAGTGGTCAGTCTAGAAGATACCATCAGAGATGCTTAGTTTTGCAGTTCTCAAACTGTGGATTTGTGTCTCCAGAGATAACGTTTGTTAACAGTAAAAATGTTTTTAAATAAATAAATAAATAAAATATAGAGGAGAAATAACAGACCTCATATTGTCCCTCTGCAAATTTATGTACACAGAGTCAATCCCTTACCTCTCTCTCTCTACGAGTGCAAAGTTTCAAAAAGTTCAATGAATAGAAGATTGTTGGTGGTGGAATAGATCTGGACAAGGAGAAGAAGTCTAGAGATAAATGTGAGAAGGGAGGGACAGTAGAAACAAAAGTGAAACTGTTTGAGCAGCAAATTCTAGAAGTCTTGAGATCTTTCTGAGTGGGGCCTTCATTGATTTGAGATCTACCATACCGTTCTCTCACTAGAAGGGAAAACCTATAATGGCAGCAGGCTGTAAAAGAGATCCAGTTGGGGAATATTTTAATGAAGTTCCTCTACCTATGGGTAAGACAGGCATGCGTGCAAAATGCAAACAGTGTAACAAAGAAATACAAGGCCTGGTCGCCCGAACAAAACAACATCATGAGAAGTGTTCCTTCTCAGGAGGAAGCTGCATTGAAGATGATGAAAGGAACAGGTCTGAAGATGCAGGACCTTCAGGTTGTTAAACTTCTTTATTTCATACTTCTTTCTTAAGGACTCCCTGTCTTCCTTCTGGACTACTCTTGAATTCTCATGTTTGTTCAAAAAAAGGAGTTATTACTCTATGGTACTATCATTTTAGATGCAGTTGTGATTAAAAATAAATAGCTGAAATAGGCAGACCTTCCTTTTACAATTTCACCTTTAAAGTAGTGCTGAGTGTCCGTGAATGCAATGAGTAATACTAAATGAGCAGTATGGTAATAATAATTAAATAACTGCATTGACTTATTTTGCTTAGAAGAATCCGTACTCAACATACAGGATTCTGAAGACTATCCACCTTCAAGATCACCATCATTTTCTATAGTTTCAGAGTTATCTGCCAATGATAGTGTTTCAGTCACATCATGTATGTCACATAGCTACATTATATCACCTGTAGCAAAAAGAAAAAAAAAATCTCCATCATCCAGAAACAACCATAGATAAGTCTGTGATAAGAACCAGCAGATTACAAAAAGAGATAATTGATGAAAAAATTGCCCGGCTTGTTTATGCAACAAACTCTCCTTTCCGTATGATTGAGAACCCACACTTCATTAACATGGTTCAGTCATTAAGACCAGGATATAGTCCACCCAACAGAGCAACTGTCGCAGGCAAATTGCTGGATAAAATGTATGAAAGAGAAATTGAGCAGTGTGCAAAAGGTCTAGAGGGTGAAATTGTTAACCTGAGTCTTGATAGGTGGAGCAATGTCCACAACGATCCTGTTGTATGTGCTTATGTGACAACAGAAGAAGGGAATGTCTTCCTTACAGAAACAATTGATATATCAGGAAATGCACACACAGCAGAATACTTACAAGAAGTAGCAGTAAAAGCTATAACAAACTGTGAAAAAAAATCCAAATGTCTAGTACGCAGCTTGGTCACAGACAATGCTGCAAATGTATCCAAGAGGAGAAGAAATTATTTAGAAGAGAGTCCCAAGCTAATAACATACGGTTGCAGTCCTCATTTGATGCGCCTCCTAGCCAAAGACTTCAGTGTTCCAGAAATAAAGGTTAACGTTGTTGAAATTGGAAAATACTTCCGTAACAACCACTTTGCAGCAGCTTCTCTGAAAAAAGTGGGAGGAACCAAGCTAACTCTCCCACAAGACATGTGATGGAACTCAGTAGTGGACTGTTTTGAGCACTATATCAAGAACTGGCCTAATCTGATGACAGTTTGTGAACAAAATCGTAAAAAAAAAATAGATGGCACTGTCATAGCCAAAGTTCTCAAGGGCTTAAGAGAAATGTTGAACACATGCTAAGTACTCTGAAGCCTATTTCTGTAGCCTTGAACAAAATGCAGGGAAATAGCTGTTTTATTGATGATGCTGTTGAAATGTGGAAGGAATTGAGTGAGATCTTAAAAAGAGGAATATGCAATGACAGAGTTAAATTACAAGCATTACAATGGGACAAGCACTATCTCCAGTTCATTTTCTTGCAAATATTCTCAATACTCAGTACCAGGGTCAAACTTTAACTGCCGAAGAAGGAGTTGTCTATGACATGGACATCCAGCAATCATCCCTCCATAAAGCCAACTATAATCAACTTCAGAACTAAGGGTGAACCATTCAAGAAATATATGTTTGCTTATGACGTTTTAAAGAAAGTCACACCAGTGAACTGGTGGAAGTCATTTAAGCACTTGGATTCAGAGACTGTTGAAGTGATAATCTCACTTTTGACAGCAGTAGCTTCTTCTGCCAGTGTAGAAAGAATATTTTCTTCCTTTGGACTAATTCATTCCAAATTGAGAAATCGTTTGGGACCTGAAAAAGCAGGAAAGCTTGTTTTTCTTTTCCAGATTATGAACAAATACGAAAATGAAGGTGAAGACGACTGAGTTAGCTGCAGAAGCCAATATTTTAAGTTTCTCATGTTGATTTAATTTTTGTTTTGTTTTTTTTAAATATTTCATTTATCTATTTTAGTTAAAAACAATTTTAACAAAAACAAACCGGATTTTAAAAAACTTGAATGTTTAACGAAATTCAAAAATTCATTTGCTTGTTTGTTAGAATATTATATGTTTGCTGCTGAAGAAAAAAAAATCCAGAATATATAATGTTGTTGTTTTAGTTAATTAAAACAATTTAAATGTCTGTCTGGTGATGTTCTCCTCCTAATACAGCATGGCAAGAAAATCCTCCAAATATTAATGATTAAGCTGTTGAATTGGAGATAGTTCACCTCCCAATGACTTCATAAATATTTGCTTCAATTACCTTTGGTAAATGAAATAACCAAACAATCATTCATTTTCTGATATAGCTGTAAAACTAATCTGAAAAGTTTTCAAAATAAATCACTTAAAAATGTATAGTGTGTACCTTCTAAAAATGAAACCTACATCTATCTCTGAGTTGTGAAGAATATGTATTAAGGTATAACAACCAACAATAATGCACTTTTATGTAGAAATCCATGATTAAATTGAGTCTTCCTGACTAGTGATTTAAATCAAATTCACCCTGATTTATTTAAATATTTTGGATGTTTTCTATATTTTCAAATATATTGATTTCAATTACAACACAGAATACAAAGTGTACAGTGCTCACTTTATATTTATTTTTATTTCAAATATTTGCACTGTAAAAAAACAAAAAATAGTATTTTTAAATTCACCTAATACAAGTACTGTAGTGCAATCTCTTTATCATGAAAGTTGAACTAACAAATGTAGAATTATGTACAAAAAAAATAAATGCATTCAAAAATAAAACAATGTAAAACTTTAGAGCCTACAAGTCCCGTCAGTCCTACTTCAGCCAATCGCTCAGACAAAACAAGTTTGGTTACAATTTGCAGGAGATAATGCTGCCCACATCTTGTTTACGTCACCTGAAAGCGAGAACAGGTGTTCGCATGGCACTGTTGTAGCTGGCATTGCAAGATATTTACGTGTCAGATGAGCTAAAGATTCATATGTCCCTTCATGCTTCAATCAACGTTCCAGAGGACATGCGTCCATGCTGATGATGGGTTCTGCTCGATAATGACACAAAGCAGAGCGGACCGACGCATGTTCATTTTCATCATCT